TACACGAACGATGCGCGTCTTATCTTCGTCGATGCACGTGCATTGCCGGCACACTAAATGCCCTAGTGGCCGTGACACGCGCACCCCACTCACTGCACGGACACTCAAAGAGATGCGGGGTCTTTTCTTTTTTACGGCAGCGACTTGGAAAAGAGACGGCATGCACATGAAGGCTTTGCAAAGTCACGGTCTTAAGCGTCGTACTACGGAGGTGCATTACTATATATGTAACACACCGACGGATCGTCATACAACGAGTTTGCCTCGCTAACTGTTACTTTGTTTTAAAAAAAAAAGTTATTTTGGCGCCTCGTGTGTTGCCTAAGGTAACATTTTTGTTAAATATTTTTTTAAAATATTTCTTTGTCCAGCGCCTTGTGACCTCTGTGTGAAGTCTTAAATTATTATTATTATGAATCACTATTAATCCAAATTATTAATCCAAAACTTATATTCAGCAGCTAGTTTGCTTCATTCTTAAGGCCATAAAAAAACCCTGAAATTAATAATGCATTGAATAATATAACTCAAATAAATCCTAATAGGTAAGTAGTGACATAAAGCATACTTTCCAACTTATTAAACTTAGATTTTAACATTTCTTGAAAGGTTATAATGTCTTTTGAAATCCCTGAAGGGTTACCACTTTGTTTTAGAACTATGGCCAGACATTTTCGGCATATGCCTGCCCAGTGGAATATATTTTAAATTTTCTGAATGTTATCAGTGTAACTGAATTGGTGCCATAACATCTTCAGAATGTATGGGGGCAGTTCCAACACAGACTTCTCAGATGTCTACATTCAGAAAACTCAAACAAATATAACTCACACATTGCTGTGAATGACACCGAGCAGAGCATAGCCCCAGCAGAGATACAATTTGAAACAGATTTTCATAAAAGTCCTCATCGGTACAAACTTGACGCTGAAGTTTATGGATAACATCTGCCGGAGCAAGTTTGAAAACATTGGGGAAATATACCGCGCCGTGGTGCAGGAAACAATTCCTGGGCAAGCTTAGTTCATTAAAAACGTGCAAAAGGAATTCCAACGTTGTCTAAAGGTGTTGTTGCCTTGGCTGTTCAATTGCTCCAATTATGAGAATGACAACACATCACGTTCTATCACAGTGAATACGTATATTTTTTGCATTTTGTACCCAGTATTCCTATTGGACTTGCCGACAACATGTTTCTATTCGAATCGTCCACAACACGACCAATATCCATGCTTGTGAGCCTTTGCTTGCACAGGGAACCGTTCAGTGCCATAATGTTCCGCATCAGCCATGCCTAAAGCTCACATTCACACAATACATTGAAGAGGTCACTAAATAATATCCACTGCGATTATAAATGGGCCATTCCACATTTTCCCATTTTGCTTAATCAATCGTAGATGGCACGTGCAGACCATTTAATATTTTAAGCATCTTCGTGTTTTAGACAGGACTGTGGGTAATGCTTACAACAAAAACCCACAGCTGACATCTATTTTGCGGAATTTCGCCATTCTGATTTTAATGGTCCATTAAATAACGATTGTCTTTGAATAGACGATTACTGTTATTGCACAGCACACACTCAAATGCCTTGCCGGACAGGCACAACCATAAGCAATGTGCTCTGCTGAGAAATCTTTGAGCAAAATGGCCCTGCCCAATGAATCCTCGTGGAAGCTTTAAGGACTGTCCGTTGATGCTTGTGGATGGCCATTCAACTTCAATGAGGAATCCGCAATTCTCTGGTGGGGTTGTGCATTGACTTTTAGCACTTGAGGATGTATTGAAACAAGCATTGGGTGGTCTTTACACAGAAACATAGATGGTTGGTTGGTATAAATATCTAGAATCGATGACTCAGTGTTCTAAGACACCACAAGACCAGGTTTCAAGACAAAACTGCAATCAAGCCAAAGCTGGAATCAAATTGCGTTTGGGTTACTGGAAATGTCACCAACATAGTAGGCCAATTACAATGCAGTATTTAATTACTGCACTCATAAAGCGTTTGCAAGGTTGGCAATGCAACCTTCCACGAGAATTAAGCTGTCTGTGACAATCACAAGGCGCGGCAATTTGGTCAGATGATACTGCACAGGTTTTTACTTATTTAATTAATCGCTGATGCGTACAGGGACTCCTCTACTTACGAACACTCGACTATGAACTGTCAGAGATACGAACAAACCTGTTCGTATGCCATGTAGATGCCACATGAAGAACCAGTGGCATCTGCAGAACATGAATCACAGTGGCATCTACATCTGCAGACCATGAAGAACCAGCGGTATCTACATCTACAGGAGATTATACAACTTTGAAAGCCATTCCCCGTGTTTAGTGTACACGTTTGGAATCGACAGTAGTAAAGTTGGTCTTACGGACAAATCGACTTACGAACCGAACTTGTTCGCAAGTAGAGGAGTACCCCCATTGTGCAGACGCAAGAAGATGTTAAACGGACGTTTCGTTCACCACGAGCCGCGCCTACATGACCCTCTGTGTGGTACGACGTGGCGTCATTAGCATGCAACGTGCCTCATTAGCAGCTGGCTCGGTGGGCATCCAAACTCTCCGCGACACTGTCGGTTGAAACCAGCTACGTGGAACCGTGTTTAGGGGCCGTCCATAAATGACGTCACGCGATTTTGGACGATTTTTGACCCCCCCCCCCCTCGTCACACGGTGTCACAAAGAGTCAGACCCACTCTCTCAAATATGACGTCACAAAGCTCTGCTCCCCCCCCCCCCCCCCCAAAAATAAAACATGCTTCAAATCGCTTTAAACTATTGTCATTGTAGTGCGTATTTAATGTGGCGCTGCACTTTGATGTTGTAGGAGAACTACGTTCTCGTAGTTTAACGAGGAAGATATTCGGCACAGCAAAATACTCACATTCTCCAACACTCTCCAGCGCCTCCGAGTTCACCGATGCCAGAATAAAATTATCGTTTGAGTTTTACGCTTATTTCATGAAATTGCCAATGGACCATTACACGAGCTGTTGTGTGAGTGGGGTCAATGAGGGGGGGGGGGGGCGGGGAGTCAGGTTGTGGGATATCGAACCAAAACGGCTGTATCAAGGGTGCCCATTGTGGTATCATCTTTTCTAACAAAGAAAAGTGTAAATGTACAGCCGTGTACATCACGTCGATGCATGGGCGTGCACACACACGCGCACACGCGCACACACACTTGGTAGACTTCAGATTTTGTCGTGCGAGTTTCATGCCTCAAACTCCTCCTCTCTCCACGTCCACCGTGGCACTGGATGACGCAGCGTGCCAGGCGTCCGCCAATATCTCACCTGCGATTGTTTGGAATGCTTCTCTTGAGTGCCCTTGAACATCACTCGAGTGTTCCAGTAACAACAACAACAAACCAAATAAAGGGACGTGTTGCCACTATTGAAACTCAGTAGTTCAGAACCTGCTGTCTGATACGCAACCCGATGTCAATACACAGCTGAGTGAAGGCCTCCCCATGCACTTGTCAGTAATGGGGGTTCTTTGACCATACTTCACCTTACTGGTCAACGCGATGATGGTCAGGTTGGGATCTAACGGCTGGTTCAGATATAATTCGTTACCCGTGGCTGGGAGTCAAACTCATGGCGCAGTGCCCCTCTGATCCATTCTCACTGTATAATTACATTGGATTATACATTTATAGACACCGGATATCACCAGGATTTGTTAGAAGCAGGATACAAACTGGCAAGTGTGATATCCACGTCCTCCTCAATATGATTTTCAGATGCCTCCACCGATTGCAGGGACTTTCGGCAGTGTCTTCGGAGAGCCCGTTTTTTCAATTGCGTCTCAGATTTACCTCAAACTCTTACTGAGACGCAAACCTTGGCTTGGCCAGCGGCCAGCTCCCTTGAGAGATAATTTTTTTTTACAAATTCCAACATTCACACACATCGGTTATATTGTATCGCTAACAATGGATAAATGAACAGTTGACGGACAAACATTATAAAGCAGGACTTGCCGCTTTAATGATCTCGCCCTGCTGCTTCCAGCAAGTCCAAACGCAAGCCAGTTGATTCGCATCTGCAAATCAGCTGCAAGGTCGAACGTCAAATCCCACAGAGGTCTCTCCAGAGCAGTGGCCACCACCTCCCGGTGCATTCGCTCGAATGGATTAAAATGAACACGTGAATGGGAAGTCAGTGGCACGCGACTGGTTTTACATAACTGTTGCAGATTTTTGGATTGCAGCCATAATGCAGTGAGGTGTTTCAAGCCCCCAGTGCCGAATATTTCCCCTTCAGCAATTCACGCAGAGTGCCCCAGCTGCACTTATTTACTCAGACGCTAATGTTTGGCTAAGAATATTAGGCTAATTTTGTGTGTTTTCTAGGAAATCCAATTAACCAGTTTGAAGAAGGTACACCTAAGCTACTTATTAATGGAGTTATTAATTGATCAAGTGCTTCCAAGATACCAGCAGCTGTTATAGAAAGGAAAAAAACATCGATAAAAACGGTACCCAATGTGCTTGTAATGTAGCATATGTGTGTAAAGTTAAAGTTGTATTAAATTTCATGAAGATTACCTTGCTGGCACACATTGACAGAACAGCAGTGGCTTTCACAAAGTATATAACTTGGAGAAAGGAAAGGGGGATGGAATATATGAAAAAAGTAAACGACATCCATAAAACATTGCCACGTGTGTGAAATAGATTTCTGGGTTTGACCAGAGGTGGTCGGTGTGTTTCATACGTCTCTGGAGTCCTGCACAGAACTCACATTGTGCATTGAGAAATCTGTGCCACATCCCTCAGCAAATGTTTAAGGCATAAAGGACTTGAGTTTCTGTATTAGTGAACCACTTTTGTGTAAATTTTTGGCAGAAAATTGCCAAATAGTCAGACATTCTAGATTTGAAATAGTCAGACAGTAGGAAGGCTTTGGCCATTTTCCCACCAAAAACGTTTGCAGAAAATATTCGTTGCACTCGCACATAAAGCAGACCCTAAGTCTGGATTGAGGCCTACATTTTCTTCTTAATTTTATTTTAATGTGGAGACAATGTAGCTGGTTATCACAATTTGTTTAAACATACAGTATTGGCTTAACATTTTAAGCAGATTTTTTACGTGTTTTCAAATAAAAGAGACATTTGTTAGGACTTTGCAATTCCTATACTCTTTAGGATAAACTATACAGTTCTAAAATTGGATCATGAAGCCAATTCAATGCAGGTACCTTAAGTCTAAATTAATAATAACATTATATATCTTGTAAATTATCCTTATCAGCAGCAATAACGCATTGCAGTGCGTTTTAGCTGTTGAAAAAACAACCCCATATGAACATTGGCTGGTTGATAAATTGGCACCTCAAATCTCAGGTGTTTCTGTTTGCAGTTTCCGACCTATATATTTCAACAAATATGTGGAAATCATGTAGGCATCAGTAGTTTTGAGAAGTGGCCTTTGCCTCTTGTTCACACATGACCCCACGGCATGAAGCCAGATATTCTTTTTCGACGAATAATTTACAGGTCCCCCAAGGGCTGCATGTTGAATGTGTCATGATGGACAAGGATGAGAAAAAAAAGTAATATGCTGTAAAACCAGTGGTTATTTTTTTTTGGCGTGAAACGAGACAGGAATGATGATCGTACAATTGACAATTTTGTCAACGAAAATAGTTTCAAATAGCGAAAAATTTATGTGCACAAATTCGATGTGCACAAAATGCGAGGTGCAAAGCATAAAGTGGTAGTTTTTTTTTTTCCTTTTTGCAGTGTGTATACAAAATGCCCTCCGAAAAACATGTCCACTTTATGCTCCAGCTCACATGGGTGAATATTTGCATATGGGAAAATGTATCATGTGACAGATATAAACTCAACATGAGGGTAGTGAATGTGACATTTAAATACAGAAAAAGTTAGAAAATGGTCTTAAAACATGATTTTAACAAACGATGAAATCGATACTAAAATAACAAGTATTACATATAAACGTATCATTTATATAATACTGTTGGAATGTAAAGCCATGGGTGGGCCACAGGACCTAGAGTTTTAAACCAACAAGAGTTATAATATAGCAGTTTCCCCAAAAACTCTTTTTTAAAGAGATACACTTTACACGTTTGCCAGTTGCACAGAGTTTGGGGCGCTGGTGTAAAACACGAATGTTTCAAAATCAGTGGTACACTGCCTTGATTTGGCAGAGAAGCCAATGAGCCCTTTATACCCAAGTAGCTCTTCTGGATAGGGACATCCATGCCAGTCAGGCACTCTATGTTGTTATTAGGGAGCCACTGGAGATGTGTACTTTGAAATATAAATTGAAAACTCATTTCTTTAGAGCTGCTTTTTGTGTTTAGTTTGTTGTCCTTCCCCACCGCATCTATCATTAGCACGGTTGGCTACGTACGGTGCGAAAGAAGTTCAACATACATACTCGACAAAGACAAAATGTGGTTTCACCAACCCTGCACTGAGCAGTATGGTGCAGTATGGTAAAACACTCCCCCTTCATGACTGCTGCACGTCAATGCTTTTGTTTTGGCCAAAGTGCCTTGAAAAAAAAGAACAAACGTCGTCAAGCACTCACTTTTCATGCACAGACAAACCTTCTTGCTGGATACGCGTTCGAATAAAAGCCCATTTGCTACAAAACTGTAGTTAAATTATAAGTGTCGGACAATGGGATGTGACCATAGAACACAGCACGTTAACCCAAACCGAATTCTCATGTCATGCACACACGGTTGATCTCTTTAATAATTTGTGATTTTTTTTCACGATTGCATTCCGATTGTGTTTTCAGCATCTTTTGAAACCCACGCAGAGTGGTGCAACTTATCCGTGTTAGAGAATGGCCCACGGAAGCGGATATCACAGAGCTCCCTCTGAGATCCCTTTTAGTGACCTCTGGTGCACACGATTAGAGGGGCCGGCACATTCCCACTCGCCCTTAACGCGAGAATCAGAATATTTATCTATACTAGATGAATCCGATGAGCCATAAAGCTCTTTTTCACAGATGTCCAGCAGATAGTGTGGTACGTCACCCGTCGGTCAAAACCAAATTATAATTTCTCAAGAGGTGAAATGTAACCAAAATTAAGTGCAGAACCAGATGTAATGAGACGGTTTCGTCTCACCGTTTGTACAAAACCAATACTGTAAATTCGAATTCAAAATGTGGTGAATATTTCTCCTGCTCAGTGAGTCCTGCGCATGCACTAATTGTTGTTTTGTTCCAGGTAAGGCCCACTGAGCTATGCAGCTCTTTTTCACAAGCGACCTGGCCACAAATGATAGTTCCACGAAGTGGCTTTCATGTGGAAATGTATAGCAGCCAAATAGTCGAAACGCGTGTTTCTAAACGTGGAGCGAAAAACAAGAGGACCTGGGGAAAAATCCATGTGACCACGGGGAGAACATGCAAACTCCAAATATACAGCAGGCGTCAGGGTCGATATCGAACCCACGACCTCCTGTATAACAGACAAGGTAGTTAACATCTCCTAGCCACCGTGATGATGATGAGAGAGAGACACGCAAACTCCAAATATACAGCAGGCGTCAGGGTCGAGATCGAACCCACGACCTCCTGTATAACAGACAAGGTAGTTAACATCTCCTAGCCACCGTGATGATGATCAGAGAGAGAGACACACAAACTCCAAATATACAGCAGGCGTCAGGGTCGAGATCGAACCCACGACCTCCTGTATAGCAGACAAGGTAGTCAACATATCCTAGCCACCATGGCACTTCCCGTGTAACAGAAGCAATCATCACGACCACTTTCTCACCCTTCTACGTCAGAAATATCCTGCAAAGCAGTCGGTCATCTATGGCAAGACAAAGAAATCAGACCTTACTCTTACTTTTATTCTTTATTATTGTTATCGTTATCTTTATACGAGCAACCACCGTTAGCATTCCTGCTGAGCATTTAGTAATTCTAAAGCTGTCGGCACAACTGGATTGAGTCTGCATTTGTGATCGGAAGCACGTTTCCCAACGAGAAGCATTGCCAATGCAATTCAGACGACATTTTTAAACGGGGGGCAGCCTGGTAAGGGCACGGTGTGTTAAAACTCATCGGGTAAAACTTGTATTTTTTTTTTTTATCATTAATCGGTGTGGTGGCATCAGTCTGTAATTTATCCTCTTGGAGGTAGGGTTGGTGGATAACACAACGATGGAACTTGTGCAAGACACTCCCTTTCTGGGCAATGGGGTGCATGTGTAGTGACATGGAATGCTTTACTATGGTGCATAGCGCTGGTTGCTGGCAGAGAAAGGGATCTGCGGTTGCAGCAGCCATGTCTGTCAGCAGGTGACGTGATAAGCAGAAAGAGGGATGTAGGGCAAAGGTGATAGGGGGGGCACGTGAGGGAAGCCCGGGAACCCACTAGTAGGTTCTAGAAGGGAGGCAAGGCCGGGGGCAGAGCCAGGCCACGCTAGGAGGATAAAAGGCGACCCCGAGCGATGGTTCGGGGCTGTTGCTTGGAGTGGAATCCCGTTGGGCTGCTTGAGTCTTCGTCACCGTCTTCACCTTCTCGACGTTGTCAGTCAGGCAGTCTGTTCGCTGTCCTGACTGAGAGTGTAGTTATCCCTTGTACCCTGTGAAGAGTGCCTCCTACTCCTAGTGTCTCTGAGTGGATCACTACACATGCAATAAGCAGAGCAGTGTGTTTACGACAGACGATTTGCAATAAGTTTTAGAAATTTAAACTTGTGCATTTAGGGATTCCCTGGGAACTCCAGTTTCTTTCCACACACTCTTGAAGCAGTGCGATCCCAAAAATTGGTGAATACGACCTTAAAACTTTCACGATTTCCAGGGTTAACCAAACGTTGGTAATATTAACGTAAATCTTTTCCAAAGCGTGCGATGCAAGATCTGATCACATGACGAACCATGCACCAGCTGAGTTAAATGCTGCTATCGCCCCAACCAACGCGCGCATTATTCCAGGATAATAATATCGGTATAAAATTGCCCTTCCAGGCTGCAATATGCATCTGACAGCCAGAAAGAGAAAAAGCCACCGCAGCTTGTGGCGGGCAAACCCCTGGCTCATGCAGCAGATACAGACTCTATCCAGGCGCGCCGAGACAACTGAGAGATGGGAGTCACAATGGCGTGCGGGTGGGGTTTGTTGGGTTGAGGGCATTGACGGCGCTCGCGGCGGTCTTGGCGGTCGGCAGTGGCGGTGCCTCTGGTCGCCGTCTCCATCGCTCTCTCTCTCTCTCTTTAGCCCAGGGAGGTGATGTTCGAGCGTCCCCCGGGAGGCGCCACGATACGGTGTCCGGTGCGACGCGGCATATTGTCATCCACTTGGGCTCCTGCCATGAATGCGCACATGCACAAACGCAGCTATAGCGAACAAAAGAAGCACGAGATACGACCGGGAAAGTTCTAAACTCATTTAAAAAAAAAACTTTTATTTCACCAGGTAAGGCCCACTGAGCTATGTAGCTCTTTTTCAGAATGACCTGACTATCACACATGATAGCCCAACGAAGTGGCTTATCACGTGGGCATTTATAGCAGCCAAATACTACAAACGTAGTTGATTATAACTGTGGAGGCACCTGGAGAAAAATCCACTCGACCCCAGGGAAAACATGCAAACTCCAAATATATAGCAGGCCTCATAGTTGGGATCGAACCTACGACCTCCTGCACACCAGGCGAGATAGTTAACATCTCGCCACCGTGGCGAAATGTTAGCTAGGAGGTTTCATTTTGTGAGCGTTTAAGGCTTAAACGTGAATTGCAGTCACTGCCAGTGAGTAGGCCACTGTGAGTAAGCACAAGTACAAGGTCGCCTTATAGCGTGAGCTTGATTAGAGGGGTGGGGGGTGGCATACATAGACCCTCCAGCAGGCGCAGGATGGAGAGACTCTACACCGTAGCGAGATAGAGCTTGGACTCAACTTAATATAGTATGTAACATTCAACAGAAATTAGTGAATTGAGCCCAATACTTTTTTTTTCATTTTTTACTTTTTTAACACATGTGTAGTGGTGATACGCGCTGGGATTAGGGATCGTATGCCAGCGCGTAATGATTGGCTGTGTATGTGGTGACACGCGCTGACGGTGGAGGATCAGGGGTCAGCGCGGGGTCGTGGGTTACGGGGTACTGATTGGCTGTGGGCCGGTGACGCGCTGAGAGGGAGTGACCGGGTGGCAGCGCGGTGTGATTGGTGGAGTAGTGTTAACACGCGCTGGGGAAAACGGATCGTAGAGAGAGTGCGTCGTGATTGGTTCACTAAGGAGCGATGCTCACGTCGACGTCCGCATCAGCTCCGTCTCTCGTGAGCAGGGGCTATAAAAGGGGATGCACACAGGCGTAAGGGCAGTATGTAACCAGCGAAGAATGAAGACGGGGATGAAGACATAGGGCCCTGCGGTACCTAGTCCCGCTGTCCTAACGGGACCGGGACTCTGTGTAACCCAGAGGCGAGTGTATTGTGTGTAGCCATAGGCATAGAGTCTACACGAGCCGAATGCATTGTGTGTAGCCAGAGGCATAGGGTCTACACGAGTCAAGTGTGTTGTGTGTAGCCAGAGGCATAGAGTCTACACGAGTCAAGTGTATTGTGTGTAGCCAGAAGCATAGAGTCTACACGAGTTAAGTGGAGTGTATAGTCCAAAGGATAGAGACCACCCGTTGTATTGTGACACGTCAAGATTTAATAAAAGTGTGTTACCCGTCAAGAAGTTCCTGCCGTCAATTCAAATACTTCACATGTAAATTGCGATTCAGGAAAATATTGTTTCATGTATCCCCCATGATATAATAGATGATATAAAAAAATGTGAATTATAATCTGTGATAACATTAGCTTTCTTTAACGTGAGTATGATGTTGGAGATGGGATCAATAAACATGACGAGCATTTTGCTCGAACTCTCACGTGCTGTATGTAGAGGGAAATGTTGTAACGCCAATCGCTTAATTGTCCTAATTTTTGCATTTTCTCCAGCCCCTTGCAACTGCTGCAGGCAGTTTGGTTAGGGGAGCTGAGCCGTCAGCAGTGAATCTGAATATTGAAACTGGAGAAATCCGATGAACTATGAAGCTCTTTTTCACAGATGTCCAGTAGAAGTGGGGGCCCAGTTCTCCCCGCCCCCTGCCGATGATACGTGGTCAGCCTGTATCAGCGCTCACCACCACTGGTGGCCCTGAACCAACGGTGGGAATTAAACATTCCTATGGTGGTGGGCAGTCTTCCCTCCAGCGCATGCACCGTTGGCGTCCCACAAGGTTGAGTACTCGTCTTATTGACCTCGAAGAAAAAAAAAACACTGACAAGGAGTTCAACTTAGACCATCATGATTGTGACTCAAGCTCTCTCTTTGTCACAGTGCCACCCAGTCGCTCACTACTGCCAAAACATACATTGAAATCACTGACTTAAAATGTAAGTCTGGCTCTGAGCATTTACATTCTGTCATTGTCCATGGGGCTTTTGCCCATGTTTATAAGGCAACAATTAATGTAGCTTGCCGAACCCGCCCCTACTGGACATCTGTGACAAAGAGCTTCATAGCTTCATCGGATTTCTCCAGGATAACAAAGAATCCGACTCAAATACACAGCCGTGGCAACATGCCTTTGCCTTTGCTGTTCATAATATTTGTATCGGGTGGCTGTGTCGGGTGGAGGTATGTATGTTGAACTTCTTCTTGGTTCTTTCGGTAAAGTCACATAGAAGGGAAATAATAAAATAATAAAAATTAAACAGCCGTCCACAGGTGAGGACGGCTGCTTGCGTTGTGGCCGAAACGTCGTGAGAATTATTTTATTATGTTTTATTTTTATTATTTTATTATTTACCTTCTACGTGACTTTACCGAAAGAACCAAGAAGATGAATCCCTGCAGTCACGAAAGCTTTAAATCGAAATTTATGTTGAACTTCTTACACAGTACGTAGCCAACCGTGCTAATTGGAGGTGCCGGGGAAGGGCAACAAACTAAACACCAAAAACAGTTCTATGAAATTAGTTTTCAATCTAGATTTAAAAGTGCATAGTTCCAGTGGTTTCCTAATATTAGAAGAAAGAGCATTCCAGACGGCTGCAGAAGCGCATCTGAAAGCGCGCGATGCAGTGGCTGTCTTTGTTCGATGGTTAGCCATCAAACCCAACACATTTTATCTTGATAAATATTGGTCGCGAAAGCCTACATGCTAAATCGCTGACCAGAAAACCAAAAACCCTGACCCTATTTCGTCACAAGGGGGCAGCGAAGGCTGAGCACGGGTGCAATTGGTACAGCTGCCCTTACCAGAGAGACAGAATCCCGACTGGTGCAGGTTGCGCAGGTTGGAGGCCTGGGAGGCGGCGGAGGCCGCCGTCTGTCGAGTGGGCGACGTTTTGGCCGAAGCGGCCGGGGTGGCTGTGCGCGAGGACACGGTCACCTCCTGCACGGGGCCGTCGTACAGGCCCCGGGGGACGCCCTGCAGCTCCGTCAGCTGCGGAGAGGAAGAAGGGTTTGTTTGTCGGTGGGACTTGTTGTGGCGTGTACGTATGTACGTTGAGCTTCTTTTGCGCCGTACGTAGCCAACCGTACTACTCCCAGGTGCCGGGGTGAAGGACGAAAAATTAAACACAAAAAGCAGTTCTAAAGATATGAGTTTTCAATATAGATTATTTAAAAGTTCACCATAGCTCCAGTGGCTTCCTAATATCAGAAGAGCGTTCCAGACGGCCGACAAAGCACACCTGAAAGCGCACGATGCGGTAACTGTCTTTGTTCGATGGCCAGCCTAAAGCCGCTGCTGCGAGGATGACTGGAGTTCGAGCGATGGTGGTTTATGTTCCTGGTGGTGGCCACTGCACGGCCAAGCGGTGTAGTATCTGACTCTGACTCGTGGACATAGTGAGCACTAGGAGGTGCTTGTTTCGGTTCGGGGTCAGTGCCGTTACTGCGGCGGATGCCAATCTGTTCTGACCACAACCACGAGTGGCAACCGCCAGGTGTGTTCGTTTTATTGCCTGCAGAGGGGCAGTGGGCCGAGTGGCCCTACAAAGTGTTGGAAACCCGCAACCCACGCGATCGGAATCAGTTGCAGGGGTGGGGGTGGGGGGGTGGTGCCCTGACACTGGTCAATCTGATTCCTTTCCTGAAAACGCTCCCGGCGCGTGGAGCGAAACGTCGGACGCCGTGCCGCACGCAAGTGCGTGTGTTTGCGAACCGTAGACAACGGAGGAGAGGCGGCGATGCAAACGAGGGATTGGGGGAGGGGAGGTGGCACACGCACCTGGCTGCGCGCCTTGATGCGCTTGTACACCTGCTCGGGGAACGCCTTCCGCGGCACGAAGCGGCCGACGCCCTGCATGGCGTGCAGCGTGCCGTCCTCCATCACGATCTTGCCCTGGCTGATGACGGCCAGCGGAACTCCCCGCACCTCCATGCCCTCGAAGATGTTGTACTCCACCGCCTGCGAAAGGGGACGCGCGTGCACGCGGGAGGCCCCAGGCTCAAGTCCGGGCTCAAGATCGTCTCTTCTCGTAGTAACAAAACAACACCAATGTAGTGCCCATGTGAATATATACTCGTCCTTTGTTCCCATGATGTACATGTGGTTGTAGTTAGATGCTCTACAAAGACGCTTGCTGCTGCGTGACTGGAAGTTATTGCTAATTCCCATGGTTGGCCTCTGAGCCCCCATCGCTGTGAATAAAGGCAATGAATGATGATTGACATCACAATCCAGATTCTCAAGCATTTGGTTTCAAAGCTGTCCAGGGCCTAGTATAAAATGAGTTATGACTGCATATCTACTCTTTGAAGAGCAATAATGACTTTCTCCTTTTGGGTAAAAAGAGGCTTTTGGAAATTACTCCAGAATAAGTTATGCTGTGTATTACATTCTCTGATGTCATGACTGCATACAGAAGCAGTTGACAGATGGATATTTGTTTGACTCGCGATCATAACGCAGTGAGACAAAACTGCAGTGAACATTGGTTCCGTCTATCGCCGTGATCATCATCCCACTGGGGCTGCTAAAATTACCACCCCTCCCATGGCAAGTTTGCACACTGAGTGAGAAGAGAGCGGTGGTCACAGATGAACTAGGGGCTGGATCTCATTATAGGATTGTGGAATAGGAAATTCCGCCTCCATACATCCAAACGAGATTGCTGAAATCAAAAGTTATGCATTCCAAATTGGGTCAACTCTGCCCATCTGACCTCCCAGTGCCAACCAACCTTGCCCCGCTTCATGCAAACTCATCATCGATTGTCCTGTGATGAGACAGGTCACTACGATGGCATGACAGACGGAACACTGCTGTTGTCCCAACAACACGGATGAACACCTCCCCTCGCTCATTTAGGCGGGGTGATGCCTTAACCTGATTCTGAATAAAAATCTAATTCTTGCGAAACCGTGACTACGGCGACGACAGGAGCGAGCATTTGAACGCGCGGCTTCACCTGGTGGTGAGTCTTGGCAGAGATGGTCTTCACCACGTCCGGGTCCCATATGATGAGGTCTGCATCGGAGCCCACTGCGATGCGCCCCTTGCGGGGGTACAGGTTAAACACTTTGGCTGCGTTGGTGCTGGTCACTGCGACGAACTGGTTTTCATCCATCTTCCCGGTGGCCTGGGGCGACAGGACGCAGGGAAACGTGCGGCGATGCTCGTGAGCCGTCAACGTGAACCGCAACAAGCAACTGGCATCGAGACAACTGCTCCAGCTACCGATGGGGCCACACATAGAGCCACCGATGGGGTTGCTGATAGAACCACAATCAGAGTTGCTGGTAGGATGTATGTATGTTGAACTTCTTTCGCACCGTACGTAGTTCATCTGCTCATTGGAGGTGCAATTGCTTAGCCCAGGATCAAATAGGGCCCAAGAGAAGATCCAAAATACCAAGTGGCCAGCAAAATCTACTTCCTATGACAATGACTTATTTCATGTAAGCTGCAGGGTTGCCACCTCTCCTAGTTTTCCCAGGATCGTCCTCCTTTTGAGGCAGCAATAAGTCTTCAAGGAACATTAAAAGTCCTGGTTTTTGTCAGTGCCGTCGTACTATACCACTCAAGACAATGCATTTAAAAGTAGTTATTTGCATCTTCTGCTATTGTGAGATATTCTTCTTGCCATGACATGTTCCTAATTAACAGTGAAGTAGTAGTAGCCCACAGCTCCAGTCTAGGGAGACAATTAAAGTCTGGCTAGAGCTTTACAGTGCAAGTAATGCATGCCCAGGAAAAAAAACTGTTCTAGATGATATCACAAAACTGCTTTGAGTCTTGCGACTCAAACGCGGAGATCATCGAAATGATAGGTTCGGTATCCGAAGCGATGACCTTAGCAGTTCAGTTCTATAATTCAGTTGCTTAAAAGCAATGCCAAACGACACACGGTACTAACCAAAAACATTCGACGTAGAGAGCTAATAAGCGTATCTCTACAAGCACTTTCTCCGGCCTATACATCTGCACAGGGCTGTAAGCGTGTATGCATGTGCGCCCGGTGGTCACGTGCGTTTTTATCCAGGTCTTCTGGATTTTTTCTACACATTTAGAATCGACGAGTATTTGTTTGCCAGAAATGCCAACGTAAGCCATTTGTGGCCAGGTCGCTTCTGAAAAAGAGCTGTATCGCTCAGTTTGACCTTACCCGCTTAAACAAAATTTAAAAAATAGTTACATTTTCAACTTCTTTCGCACCGCACGTAGCCAATCGCGCTAGTCAGTGGTGGGTGGCTTGTGTTTGGCGTTAACACCGAGCGGTGAGTGTGTGTGTGCATGTGCGCGCAAGCGCTTGTGCCGCGTTGTCGAGGAACGCACCACGCCCTTGTCCCACACGATGCTCATGCGCTCCTCGATGCCGTTGGTGCCCTCGGGGATGAGCGTGAAGTCATCCTTGCCCAGAGCTTTCTGCGCGGTGCTGAACGTGCAGTGAGCGCTGCCCGTCACGTGCAGGTCCCCGCTGATGCGATGATGATGGTAATGATGGTGGTGGTGATGATGGTGGTGATGATGGTGAATGATGATGGTGGTGATGATGGCGCAGGGTAGAGAGGAAGGGCGGGGAGAGGGAGCTGATTAACAACGTCTTTACTGCACGGACACAAATGGGGATGCATGAAATTTAAAATCAACGTGCACTACTTCTCTCTGCCTAGCTCTGTATTATTGTCTCCATCTGTCTGCCTCTATGAAATGTACGCTTTGTAATTGTGACAACTCTAATGCACACTCGAGGTATACCGAATCCACCACTACCCCACCGGATGATTCGATGACTTGTCATGATTCAGAGCCACAATTCAACTGAAGTATCAATACTTTCTTGTCCTGATCTGATAGGCACGTTTGGATTGTTTCTTGTTTTTGCTCGGTCTCGTTTGCGCACGTTTTATTCGTTTCATTCCCCTAAATGTAGCATAATCATATCATACGCACTCACTGCAAAGAAAAATGCTCATTCTTACACACGTGATTCAATTTGCATGTGTCTTAGCCTGAGCAATCAACATCATTAAATGAATCGATGCACCCTCACACCCCGAGTGTACACACCCTGGCGAGCGTGTACACACCTCAGCGGGCATGTACACACACCTCAGAATGGCACTTTCCTGTCAATCAGTCTGGGGAACTAGTGAGCCTCTTCTGCCTGAGGGATACTGTTCCTGCGCAGTCAAGAAGCCCATTCAGCGAATCTGAATCTTGATTTAGACTGGAGTATGGGCACGGGGTTAGGGGCCGTCTATAAATGACGTCACACGATTTTGTACGATTTTTGACCCCCCCCCCCCTTCGTCACAAAAAGTCAGACCCCCCCCCCTCAAATATGACGTCACAAAGCTCTGCACCTCCCCCCCAAAAAATAAAACATGCTTCAAATCGCTTTAAACTATTGTCATTGTAGTGCGTATTTAATGTGGCACTGCACTCTGATGTTGTAGGAGAAAACATTTAGACTTAAAGCTTTCGTGACTGCAGGAATTCATATTCTTGGTTCTTTATTATTTCCCTTCTATGTGACTTTACCGAAAGAACCAATAATATGAGAAAACATTTATTTAAAAGTCTATTTCATTAAGTAGAACGTGTTGTCTATATTTATTTAATTTTGCGCATTTTGATGTGACGTCACATTTCTCAAACCCCCCCCCCCCCTCGTCACACATCGTCACAAATGTCTGACCCCCCCCCCCCCCGAGGTGCGTGACGTCATTTAAGGACGGCCCCTAAGTCCGATTTATCAAGATTGGGCAAGGCAGCAACAACAACAAAGACAGTCCCAGACCACAACAAGATAACACACGGTAGTAGTCCCTCAATACAATGACACATTAACATTGATTTGTAAATATTGCGGGTTTACTCTCCAACACACCGGTGTGCTGTACTAGTAGCGAATTGACACGTTCTTTTTTACGTGACAAACCTTACCAATTGGCCGTGTAGAGTTTAGCGACACGTTTATATTTACGCGATCGAACCTAAAATCCCCCCCCCCACCCACCCACCCCCTCTATTATGGATAACATAGAACTATCATTAACACTGAACTTATTCATGCCCTTCCACTGCCTCACGCAAGAGCGCCTCACCATGCGAGCATGGAGTTGAGGTACTCGGGCGTGGAGGGGTCGGGGCTGATGGGCGGCGAGGTGACGAACGCCGCTGCCTTGGCCCAGTTCTTGCTCCAGTAGTGCGAGCCCTCTGTGCCCAGGCTGGCCGTGATGGGCTCGCCGTACACCACCGTGCCTGCCGGGGACATCGATCAACGCGATTACCCCAGGCCGCGCAGTGATGACGGTGGCGACAATGGGTGGCCGAGCGAGTGAGCGAGCGAGAGGTCAGAGAAAATTGACCTCTCTAGGACCGTGTGCAAGGAAAGGTCGGAAGTTGACGAGGTGCCACCTCATCGCTAAGAGAGCCTTTAAATGGATGTGCGTTGAACTTCTTTCGCACCGTACGTAGCCAACCGTGCTAATCAGAGGTGCGGGGAAGGACAACAAACTAAACACAAAAAGCAGTTCTAAAGAAATTAGTTTTCAATGTAGATTTAATTAAAGAGGATATTGGGCTCGCAGCACTGACATCATCATCAGCAGCAGCAGCCAAGATCAATCCACCGCTGGATGAAGGCCTCCCCAAGCTGTTGCCATGTCTCACGATTCTGCGATGTAATGATCCAGCGATGTAATGATGCTGCGATGTAATAATCCACCAAGCGCATCCAAACGAGCCGACTTCATCGCTCCATCTCCCTGGTGGAGGTGCCCTCAGATGCATTCCATTCCTTGGCTACCATTCTATCACCATCCTTGATTTATTGGCCCTCATCCCTGCTAGCCACATTTCCAGCCCAAAGCCAACTCACCATCGAGCACTGACGGCTTGAGAGAAGATTTACAACCATATTTAAGTATCCAGGATCTCATTACTGGCCCACAAGGGCAGTTAATTGTGTTAGTCTCATGGCCAAATGGCCATGTGCTCCACATAAATGCGTGACTAATAGCTGCACCATTGTATAGAGCAGGAGAGTGTTCTTGTAAAAATCTTAACCATAGCTTGATATGCTCTGTGTAAATATAAAAGGGCTTCATTATTGATGTATTATACAGCAAATGTGACCAATAAACTGCAGGTTTAAGATAGTATTTAATTTCACTGTAAAACATCACTCGACTCAATCATCACTAACTGCTTGATCCGATTTTAGAATAATAATTAGGCTGAACTCATATATAACATCTATCACACGGAATTAAACGCATTGATTAAAACACGATTCACAGTGGTTTATCATTCCCCTCCCCATACCATGCGAATTATGGAGGCTGTTTGACCAATAATTAATCAGTATAAGTTGGCCAGGTCTGGTTCAGATATTGCTCAGACAGGAAAATTAAAAATGTCTTTGGTGAGAAGAAAATAATTGGGTCACCCCATATTGGAAGTTGAAAATTAGGTAAAAGTTATTAAAACAATTATACTTTACAATACCCGATGAAAAATATTTTGATTGCAATATACTGCCCTCGCAACCTATAACACCTATTTACAGGCTGCGAGGTGGTGGTCACCCATCCAAGCACTGTTCGGGCTCATGTCCCGCTTAGCTTGTGAGATCGGGTAAATTCTGGGTGATTTGGTCGCAGGCCTAGCTGGTGGGCAGCTGATGACTTCCCACCAGGTACCGGCTCTCTGCCTACACCACCCGGCACTGACCATCCTGGTGAAGTGTGGTCAGATAACTCGCATGACCCACACGCCGTGGCGAGGGCCTCATCCGCCAGTGGACTGACAAAATGGCCGTGCGGATGTACAAGTAATCTATTTTCAACAAAGTAATGTTTATATGATGACGACGACGACGTAGATGATCTTACCCCTCTTCCTGGACAGAGCGATGACATCGGCTGCGCTGCGGCTCATGACCTTGGTGATGTAGAGGGGGCAGTTGGTTTGGTTGGCAATGGTGATGGCCCGGTTCACCGCCTCCGCCTCAACCTGCGCAGAATACGCGAACCGCACCCAGCAACCAGCATCAACACAACTTCTCCGGCTACCGATGGAGCCACACACGCACCAAGCCACTGATGGGACTGCTGATCGAAGAGATGCTGATAGGATGTGTGTATACTATGTTGAACTTCTTTCGCACAGTACGTAGCCAAAACGTGCTAATCGGAGGCGACTGCTGTTAGATGTCACAAATTGAGCCGCGGATACGAATGCATTCCAGTTGTGCACTACACGATGGGCAGCGGAGGACAGTGCAACAAAATCCACTGTTGCGCTGCACTTCTATGTCCCTCCATCTGTGCTTCCCGCCTTCACCGAGCCGCACTGACCAGAGTGGTGAAGTATGGTCAAACAACTCCCACGACCGGCACGGTGTGGGGAGTCCGTCATCCTATAGTGGATTTAATGGGATGTGTATATACATGTAGCTCCTGGAATAATATAATTAAACATGTAGCATCGTCGATTCATCGATTATGTTGAATTATTACCTTCATGATATAAGCCTAAGATTACGTCCGACAATACATGATTTAAGGGATATGTTAATCATATGCTGCTGTTGTCTTTGGGCCAATGGAATGAACAGAACAGAAAAAGTGGAACACATTTTTAGGATGTGTTTACGATTTTCGGGTGATATAAAATAAAATATTAAAATTGGATGATGTGAAAAAAGTTTCAGTTTGGTCTGAAATGTGACATCACTTATATGACATCACTTCCTTCATTTCCTACCAATAGCGGTTGCCCTGTGGAGATGTCACCTTAGATAGCATGAAGATACGTTCAATAACTACACCGTGTAAAAGGATCCAAAAATCTAAAAAGCCAATTAGAGATATAAAATAGTGCTTAAAAAAACGAAATCTGAAACCCATTCTCTATATACATTACATACCTCTAATATATTAGAACATAATAAAAAGACGATACAAATCAGATTATCCAAATCAGACAAAAAGATTAGATATTTGTCGAACCCATACCTGACAACCCACACGGTTCACCTGTCTACTTGAACAAGGAAATGTAGTTTTCAGGTCCATACGGCGTACAGCCGTTTCAATACGGGCAATTTTTTTAGTTGTCTATTAGTTTGTGTTTCTCCCTTGTGATGGGACTTTGTAGGATGAACGCTGAGATTTAAAAGGGCACATGGTGACCAATAATGTCTGAATTGGTGTGTAATAAGGTAGGCACTGATAAGGGGTTGACAGGTATGCGAACCATAACACCAAATCTTGACAATTCATTGCATTGGTTATGGGCGAGACTAGGGTGGTAGCGGTGTTAGTAGTACAACTGATGCTACTCGCACTACTCCTGTTACTATAAAAGCTAACATAACTACTTTTACTCATGCTACAGTTACTTATCGTGCTATTATTCCGATTGCTACATATATTGTCATATTCTAATGCTGCTGCTGCTGCTGCCACGTGAACGTAGGGAAGCGCACCTCTTCAGGCCGGCTCAGGACGTGGCCTTCAGGCCCAGTGATTTGCAGACCCAGGATCCTCTTTTGTTCCTGTTGGGGATGGATAAGAGGGTGAGAAACAGCCCTATTACAGATCAAGCCCTATTACAGATCAAGCCCTATTACAGAGGATACTGGTCAAGTTTCCGGACAGCACAGTCAACAAAACCGAAACTCTCATATAAACAAAAGAACAGGATGGGCAGTCTATTCAGGCTTAAAGATACAAAACCTGCACAACATCATGGTAAGTACCCATCATGCCCTGCAAGATCCACTACCATAAATGAGTTTATAACAGGTTCATTCGGCTGATAGCATTAATTAATTCAAGGATGAAAAATAATGCACATGCGTGGTTTTTGTAATGTTTTACAACATGTGTTGGGCCTTGGACTATTTAATTAGTGGCAAAGTTTACCCTCTGAGCTGCACACAACAATGATGTCAGAGTGAAAGAAAAACTATCGCGTCAACAAATAACTCAGGATGGACTATCACACGTGTCATCTAGCCTGCATGGCATGATGGGAAGTACAGTAAAACCTCGTTATTTCGGTATTTTATCATTCGTAATTGGGGATAATGCGGTACGGCTGCGCTTTTCGGCATATACGCTATATTAGTAATTCGCCATGAGCCGAATTGCCGTACCGAATGGTCCAATTTCGACATAGCACGTGGAGCGATGCCGTGCTCCACGACCAAAACAACGAATCGGTATGGTGGCGGCGCGCGCAATGAGCGTTAGTGCAGAGCCGTCGCTGTTGACTTTACTTGCTTGTGCACTCTGTGCAAGCCAACCCTCTCAGAAATGTCGTCTACATTTCTGGCTTCTTTAAACCCACTCAGGCATAAGCAACATTATGCCTGAGTCTCTGGATATTCTTCCACAGGCACCTCTGTCAGCAGTGAAGTGTCACATCAGCTGATGTCGTCTGACAGCGAGTAATGTGGTGTAATAAATATTAATTGTTAAGTGAAAAATGTGACGTTTAAGTTAGTGTAATTTGGTGTTTAAGTTATAATTGAGTGATAAAGTGAACAGAGTGCATACTAAGTGTATTAAGCCCTCCTCCACAAGCTCTGTCACCTACCACATGGAAACTACCACATCCTCCTTCTTCGCCTGCAGTGCTGGTTACTGTTGGTATGCGTTATTTTTTTTGAAAAACAAATTGCATTTGGGAGTACCATTGTAAATAATTTGCAATTTTGGATAATTTGGCAAGACCAGAGCCCCATATGTATCGAATAAACAAGGGTTTACTGTACCCACGAGACCTTGCAAGCTCCACCTTTGTGCGTGTGAGTTTACAGCAGCCTTATTCAGCTGTGCTCAAAGCATGGTGACTGTATCTTCTTAGAGGCTTTTGCCACCACACAACCCCACCGAGGGCATATTTAAAAGTTGAAATCGCAGTGTGCAGTGGACAAATATTTGGAAGCCGCTGGAGCTATGCACTTTAAAATCTAGATTGAAAACTAATTTCCTTAGAACAACTTTTTGTGTTTAGTTCATTGTCCTTCCCCCCACACCTCCGATCGGCACGGTTGCCAATGTACGGCTCGAAAAGAAGTTGAACATACGTACACACATACAGAAAGCGGAAGGCCCCACGTGCCTTTCCACACTTGCAGGTTCTCTTGGTGAGAAGAAGATCTGGGGTGCATACCCGAGCATCCCTCGCTCGGAGTCGGTCACTTACCTCTGCGATGATGCTTCCATTCTCCGCATGCACCAAGGCAATGGCACCGAGGTCGCGGATGGCCGTGAAGGCTTCGTAAATCTATAGGGGGTGAAGTCACGTGGTTTAAAATCTATAGGGGTAAAGCTATAGGGGGTGAAGGTGTGTGTGGGTTTAAAATCTATAGGGGTAAAGCTATAGGGGGTGAAGGTGTGTGTGGGTTTAAAATCTATAGGGGTAAAGCTATAGGGGGTGAAGGTGTGTGTGGGTTTAAAATCTATAGGGGTAAAGATATAGGGGGTGAAGGTGTGCGTGGGTTTAAAATTGGCTTAATCGGCGAAACCGGTTTGTACCGACACTTTAAACAAATATTATTTTTTGTTTGGTTATTTACGATTTGTTGAGTTAAACGTTATCACAAATTAAAATGCAGGATTGAATAGCGACACGTATTTTTGAAAGGAATTTTGCGTGAAATTATGGGTCACAATTCATTGCTTGAAGTCTCTTATCTCTCTTTTTTCGAGAAAACAAATATTAAATTTGTAAAGACTTAACAATAATAACCTAAACGTACATGTGAGCGATTGTAAGTATACTGTTTTACAACTGAAGTTGTCCACACAGCATGACTGTTTAAAAAAAAAGCTAGGCTGTAATAGTACTGTGATATTAATAGTCATTATCTGCTTTTATCGCTTGTAATTAATCAATTGGTAAAAATTTATTGACACATTCAATTTCATCAGCTATAAATCCAGTGAAAAATCATAATCTCTCTTTTTTCAAAGGAGGAACAGATTCACTTGGGGATAAAATAGCGAGAACGTTTTTAGCGACGTTCATTTCATCGTCATCTTTGCCTCTAAACGTCTACCGCGAGGGTATCCTGGCAGGCTGTGCACTGGCGCACCAAAGCACCAAACGTGAATGCACCTGCAGTTGCCTTTGTCGAGCAGGGCGTGTTTGTATGCCTTGCGTGCACCTGCAAACGTGCGTGAATTGATGCCCTTACCGCCGTGCAAGCCACACGCACGTGGCAACACATATATATATTTATATGTTTAACACGTAGGCTTTCACGACCAATATTATTCATCATAAAGGTTTTTTTTGGATAATTTTTTTTTTCGATTTAACAATAATAATCCGCAACATTTACTCTCCAGCACACCGGTGGGCTGAAGTAGTAGCTAATTGGCACGTTTTGTTTACGTGACAAACCTTACTGGCTGTGTCGGGTGGTGGAGGGTTACGACACATTCATACTTACGCGATCTAACCCAAAAAACCTTTATTAAGAATGTATATATACGTTGCGTATTTTGTGAGATGCTGTTTTTAGTTAAATTCACAAATTGAATTGGCGGCGGAGGCTCAGTAAGTCATTTCTTTAACGGACCTCCACTGAAATTAATGAACACCCCCAAAAGTAAATACCTCGGCATCGGTCAGCTGGTACTTGTCCTTGTAAGCCATGTACACGAGGAACGAGTTGATACCTTGAAAGAGAACGTCACCAACATTCAGCTTCCATCACCCCGAGAGAGGTGATTAATCTTGTCCTGAAGCCCTAAACCTACATGCTTCACAACGCTTGGCTTATAGCCGTGGGGTTACCAAGTTCGCTCAGCTGGCAATGTTAGGAACAGGAAACCCTCTCTCTATCAGCGAGGGTTACGATCTTGAAAAAGCTCGCCAATGAAGAATTCACGAATGCAGAAACCGTGTTCCAATGGGAAAATTGTGGTCACGTTCCTGGTACGAGTTAACATCGGGGGGAAATGGGAAATGTTTAATCAACATGATAACAATAATAAAATATAAAATATAGGCGCCCCTATATCACCAAGGCCAATGGATATGGCCATTCTCTTCGCATGGCCCCTTGAATTGTGGCTCAAAATAATTGCACTTCTGAAAGCCAACGTGTTGCCATGAAGAAGACCATCTCCGTCAGTTAGGAACACAATAGGTGCAATACAAGAGTTGTAAGGGCTATAAATAAGGTTACTGTTCACACGTGCCTGCACTAATTTGCATCAAAATACCATATTTGTCGCATCCTCAATAATTTGGCTTTTCAGCGTGTAACGCAGTATTTCATTAATTCGATTTTTCAGTGCTTAGGCCCTCCATCTTATACGCTCACGACAGAATTGCTAAATTAGCGAGATGCCTCATCGCTATCGTGCACACAAGAACCGACAAATGAGCTCAGAGTGCTCTCTGCTGCACATGGGTAAGTGCTAACGAGCAGAACACCAATCTGGGAGGAGTGAGGTCGCCACGACTACCAGTTTATCGAATTCAGCTGCCACTGTGCGTGCGGCCTACTCTGCACACTTTCAGTGAGCGCACAGGAGGGATATTGCCTTCCCGTGCCATTATAATAAAAACAAGTATTATTACAATGCATATTGTTTCCATCTCCTGATTTGTATCTACACAGCGATTCCTTGTTTAACTGCGGTAGATGCGTTCTTGAAAATGTACGCGTTAAGCCCATGAAAAATAATGGAAAAATAAAGTTTGGCCAGTTTGGAAAGATACAATGTACGCACACACAGCGAGGTGCAGGTGACAAAGAACTGAGATGAGGAGACGTCGCCACGTACCGTATCTTTGCGCACGTAGACCCAGAATTCCCACACCACTCAGAAACTGCATTATAATGGTGCGTGTTCCACGTTATAATGTGGCGCGCGTTACACGTTATAACGTGGTGTGCATACCACATTATAACGGTGTGCACACTTTATAACGGTGTGCATTCCCCGTTATAACGGTGCACATTCCAAGTTATAACGGTGAGCGTTCCACGTTATAACGGTGCACGTTCCAGGTTATAACGGTGTGCATTCCCCGTTATAACGGTGAGCGTTCCACGTTATAACGGTGTGCGTTCCAGGTTATAACGGTGTGCGTTCCAGGTTATAACGGTGTGCGTTCCAGGTTATAACGGTGTGCGTTCCAGGTTATAACGGTGTGCATTCCCCGTTATAACGGTGTGCATTCCGAATTGCGTGAAAAGTGTTCCCCAAGCGAGAATTTACCGATTTGTACTTGAAAAATATTACAATTGTGTGGGAACCATTTTGGAGAAGAGTTATAATGGGAGCCCATGTCGAGTTGCCAAGAGGGCCCATGAGGGATATTTAAATTGACGGGGCAAAGATTTATTTCATCCTCCCGTGCCTAAAAGTTGTGGGAGGAGGGAGCGGTAGCTGCCCTCCCTGCCCGTTATGTTCCGATGCTCATGCCTTTCAATAACAGTAAAATAGAAAAAGAACTTTCAGTGCTTTATGTAAGGTTACATTATGTAAAATGTGTCATCATGAAGAGATCGCACGCATAGATATGCACAACCTCACATGTATACACACACACACGTGCACGCAAATAAAAAGCCCCCTTTTGACATGGGAGCGAGTGCTGTTGGCGAGTAATTATTAAGTCCAACACATAGCCTTGCACAGACATAAGTGTGGATGAAATAACAACAACAACCACCGTTCACTACGAAGTGGCGGTGACATCACCACGGTGCTTGTGCCGGGCTAGGTGCACCTTGAGGCCACGTGGATTGTCGTGTGGATGCACACGCCAAAACGCATACTTACACGCACGGTTGATAGGTTAACTTACTACTGTATATATTTTGTCTATCATAAGATAGAGTTAAATGCATCCCTGTGTGTAAAGCTATTTCAGTCTGTGCATGGACACCACTGCCAGCTTAGCCCTAAATGTGTATGGTGACATCTCAACGGTGTGCTGCGTGGTGGACATTGCAGGTGTTGGCCAAGTCAACACGCAAAAAGGGACGGGCCAGATGTTTGCTGTCCTTCCCCCGCACCTCCGATTAGCACGGTTGGCTACGTACGGTGCGAAAGAAGTTCAGCAGACAAACATACAGATGTCGACAGAATGCCCCAGAGCGAGAGAGACAGAGGGAGACAGGACAGTCAGAGAGAGAGAGAGAGGCAGCCACCTTTATCCTTGATGAGCGTTTCCATCTCGGAGCAGAGCTCACTGTTCCAATAGGTGAGCTGCACGTGCAGCGAGTAGTCGCAGCAGGCCTTCGCATCGGCCCACTCGCGCCACTGCTCGTACGCGCCCAGCAGACTGCAGCCGGGCTCCGGGATCACGTGGTCAACTGGGAATAGAAGGGCACGGCACAGGCGTGGGAGTGATTGACGTTCAACTTTGTTTCGCCTAACCAGTCGAAAACTCCAGAGACGAGCGTAGAGTCCAGTTTGTAAGAGTGACCCTGTGGGCATTCGTCTGCCGGTCGGGGAGGGGGGGGAGGAATGCTGTGCGTGTCATCCTGATTGAGTAATTTGCGGGTGATTTTTTTTTAATTAAATCCTTTATATTAAGTTCGCTTGCTTGCTTGCGTGCTTACGTGCTTGCTTAACCCACTTCCCGTGATCCAATCGAGCTGACATTTTCCACACAGACTCGTTGTGCGTGACAATTAATTTTCGTGAAAATTTTTTTCCTAAATTTTACACTGTTTAGGCAAATTTTTTTAAATATTTAATTACCAATTGCTTAATGCTGGCAGATAATCATCTGACCCATAGGTGGCAGCCATCTCAAGCCAGAGGACGAGAGGACTCTAGCCGCCACGCATATAAAGGATTTAGAGTGAAAAACTTTGTTTTTACGGGTTAATTTTATCTGGCTAATTTGAGGCAAGCGTATGGGGCCGTCCATAAATGACGTCACGCACCTTAGGGGGGTCAGACATTTGTGACGAGGGGAGGGGGGGGGTTGAGAAATGTGACGTCACATCAAAATGCGCAACTTTAAATAAATATAGACAATACGTTCTACTTAATTAAATAGACTTTTTAATAAATGTTTTCTCCTACAACATCAGAGTGCAGAGGCACATTAAATACGCACTACAATGACAATAGTTTACATTGATTTGAAGCATGTGTTTTTTTTTTTGGGGGGGGGGCAGAGTTTTGTGACGTCATATTTGAGGGGGGGGTCTGACTTTTTGTGACGCCGTGTGACGATGGGGGGGGGGGGGGGGGTCAAAAATCGTCCAAAATCGCGTGACGTCATTTATCGACGGCCCCTATGCTCTGGACGATGGCGGAGTGGTGGCACAATAGTTGGTTCTCTGCGCCATGGACCCGTCCACCTGAGTCCGATTCCCGGCCGTGACCGACATCAGTGACGAGTGATAGATGCACAGTTTCTGGGACACCCCAACGAATGACTCTGAACCAATTTACACTGACAAGTGAGGTGAAGTATGTTGAAACAACCTCCGTAACTTAAATAGTGTGGTGAGGTTCTCATCCAGCAGTAGACCGAGAAAGGTCTGCAAGTTATCGTTATCCTCAAAACACATCGCGAATACACCACTGACCTGGAATTGAACTCGGATGCCTGGGTTCATAGCGCACACAGTTTGCGAACCACTTCGACAACTCTCCAAGCTTTGCTGCGTGTAAGTATATTTAAAGTACTCTTTGGTTCTTTCGGTAAAGTCACGTAGTTAGAAATAAAATAAAACAAATCACGACGTTTCGATCGCAAAGGATGACGACCGCTTGTGTTGCGATCGAAACGTCGTGATTTGTTTTATTTTATTTCTACCTACGTGACTTTATCGAAAGAACCAAAGAATATGGATTCCTGCAGTCACGGAAGCTTCACATTAAAATTATATTTAAAGTGTAAACTTAACCTTTTGTATACAGACTATGCTCGCGTACATTTATATAAACTGTGCTCATACAATGCATTTACACACTCATACACTGCACGTGAGTCTGTTGCCTACGTGTGTATATGCACACTTCAAACATGCAAATTAAACATTTCCCACATACTGGTTTTAAGAAGACAAAGCGCTTTGTTATTTTTCCATAACCTGCGAGAAAACCAAAATATTTGCACAGGCCGGGGATACCACAATAATATTTCCCTTGCTTTGTGAAACCTTAATTGCACTGCATTCTTGGCAACTTCTTTTTTTGAAACAGCAGTCCAGTAATTGAATTATTAAAAAAACATAGTCTTGATTTGATCATGGAGCCTACAACACATGATGCAGAATCCAAGCTAAACGTTGATTGAAATGTTTAAAGGGTAATGCGCTCTTTTTCCTGTTAAGTATTTTTGACATCGGGATGTTTGTGCCTTTCACCGTACTGGTTAGTGAGGGGTTGGTGAAAGCGGGGAGGGGGGGGGGGATGCATGGGCCAGTTGTAAAGATCTCACTCACCACCGATGTTAGCCATGGCCAGGAAATCGAACTTAGGTCACCCGATTCCTAGAGAATTGGGGCGCAAACCACTGTGCTACCAATCCACTCCCTGTATCGTGATTTTGACATCGGGATGTTTGTGCCTTTCACCGTACTGGTTAGTGAGGGGCTGGTGAAAGCGGCGAGGGGGGGGGGGATGCCTGGGCCAGTTTTAAAGATCTCACTCACCACCGATGTTAACCATGGCCAGGAAATCGAACTTAGGTCACCCGATTCCTAGAGAATTGGGGCGCAAACCACTGTGCTACCAATCCACCCCGTGTCATGATAGCAAGTAAACATCCTGGTACTCCCACGGTATCCACAGCGTGGCTTGTGCATCACGTCAGAACTACGTCTGGAGTCACTTAAATAAGCCCTGCCCTACACAACGCCAGATGTGCACGTATCAGTGTACGTCGCTTGTTCAATGCGTCGTTTTTCGAGGGCCTCCTCTCTAGGTCATGTTGGTCACGGAGGTTGTTTGACCGTAGTTGACGTCGCTCGTCAGTGCGGGTTCGTGAAGTAGAAGAAGACGAAAGGGAGACCGTGACTGGTTCGTATTTATGTTAGCCGTGGCCTGGAATCGAACTCAGGTGTCCGGATTTATATAGCAGGGTGTGTGAACCACTGCGTCAATGCTCTCCACACATTGGGACATGCTTTAGACGAATATTCAAAGTGTAAAATGAACATGTATAGTATATGCTCATATATTGCATTCGGAATCAGTCTGTTCATACATAAATATTGGACTTCAGACATACACGTTAAACATTTCCTTGCACTGTTATAGACGTGGGAGCCCAGTACAGTACAACAATGGCTTGTGCTGCACTGTCCTCTGCTGGCGACGCATCCCTGCGGCAGCAGCCCACACCATTTGCTTCATTCCCAGGTGAGTCGCCCATCCATGCTCGAGCCAGGCTCAAATCCAGCTTAGCTTACGAGATTCGATTTGGTCATCAGCTGTATGAAATGGTATCCTATACACTCTGTAAAGGGCGGTTTGTCATGTACCAATCTTTCTGCGGTGGACAGATGTTAACACCCTGGCCTGGTATGCAGGAGGTTGTGGGTTCACTCCCGACCCTGACGCCTGCTGTATATTTGGAGTGTGTGTGTTCTTCCCGTGGTCGCGTGAAATTTTCTTTGGGTCCTGCGGTTTTTCCCTCCACATTTAGAATTAACATGCATTACATGTCCACGTGATAAGCCACTTCATTGAGTTATCATTCGTGGCCAGGGTGCTTCTGATAAAGAGCTACATAGCTCAGTAGGCCTTACCTGGTAAAATAATAAAAACAAATGTTAAGTTTTTAGCTTAAATATATTGAGAAATGAGCGCTCGAAGCTAGATTGGTGTAAATTTAGTGGGAAAGCCAAATGACCGTCGTATTGAAAGTGCAGGTTTTAATCAAGTTGACTGACTGGACCTGGACGGAGGATCTCAGCGGTGTTAGATCAGTGCCGCTGACATGGGCATTAGTCCACTGAGCCACTTGGTAATGGAAGTGGATATTTAGTTTGGGAGCTAAAGGACAGTGAAAGCACACTCCCGACTCCTCCAAAATCAACAGTGCCCCGTTCACCATCGGCGAACGTCACGATAACGAGCGGCTGACAAATTAATACGGGTGCCGTGCCGTGCAATCTGAAAGCAAGACAAACTACAAAGCGCTCCAAAGAAAAAAAATGAAAATTAAACCGAACTGGAAGAGTACCGCTTAAAATGTAATTCCGCACCCAGAAAATGAAAGTGTAAGTCGCTTCTGAAACTGCAAGGGTTGTCGTAAAACCCTCCTCCACCCGACAGCCATTTAATGAATGTTGTTTCCGCAGCACCACTCATGGTATTGTTGGAGTGAAATCTCACAACATTTACACGGTTACCGACGTTTCGCTGGAGATCACATCCGGCATCATCAGGTTGTTAACAGCAGCTCTGATCTATTTTATTAATTGGCCGCGTTGGGTGGAGGAGGGTTTACAACATGCATTTTTACAGACGACCAAACTCAAAAGATTCCAATTACGAATCACATCGGTTGTGAGAGCCTTCATATAAAACTGAAACCAAGAAATTGTTAAAAACGTAGCAGCAAAAACGCGGAGAGTGAGAGACATGTAAAAATCAAGATTACCTCGCAGAACTTTTTATTGACACGGCCACATTTCAGGATGTGTTCGATTAAACAAAGTGAGAAGCATATTCTTGGTTCTTTCGGTAAAGTCACGTAAAAGGAAAATAATAAAATAATAAGAATTAAACAATGCAATTCTTACGACATTTCGATTGCAACACAAGCAATCATCATCAGGTGTGAAAACCACAGCAAAAAAAATGTTCTATTTTATAGTTTTATTTTTATTATTTTATTATTTCCCTTCTACGTGACTTTACCGAGAGAACCAAGAATATGAATCCCTGCAGTCACGAAAGCTTTAAATCGAAAAAAGTGAGAAGCAGTTAACCGGTTACGAATTAGTTAAGGTATTTAATTGTTTATCAAGAGATCTTATTTTTCACCGAAGGCGGCTGCGGCACCGGTTCACTTACTGATCATGGTGGTGCCACCAGCCAATGCCGCACGTGTGCCCTGGTAGAAGTCATCCATGGTGCTGGTGCCCAGGTAGGGCATCTGCAGGTGGGTGTGGACATCGATCCCACCGGGCATCACCATGCGTCCGTTGGCTTCGATGCTCTTCACGCCGCCCGGGACGATCAAGTTGTCTCCGATTTGCCTGCAATTCAAGAATTTGCTTGGGGTATGAGACATCTCCTTTACCAGTGGCAAAATATAGTAATAGGTTTTTACCCTTTCAACTGGTACAAAATCTGACACCTTTATACAAGAAAAGCTGTCTCGGGTGTGGACCAATCAACTTCAAGGACAGTGCATATCATTATCAGAGTTGTTTATTTTTGTTTGCATTTTGACTGCTTGTGTTGTGGTTATTGCAAACATGATGCCTTGTATAAAGGTGTCAGATTTTGTACCAGTTGAAAGGGTAAAAACCTATTACTATAATTTGTTGGGGCTCAAATGCCCAACTTGAGTACATGATAGTTTGAGCACAAGGCGAGTGTTAAGTCAGATTGTTTCCGTGCTCGAACAAAGCACTGGGCAACGATCGTCTCCACTGGTGGCCAATGGTGGAAACTTCCACACTCCTGTGGCCATGGCCAGTCTTACTGAAAGGATGACCACTGGTGACTTGCCACAGAGTTCCACGTGTCTCATGCTAGTCCACGTCAACACCTGACAAGGGATTTGAACTTGTTGCCAACTAATTACCTCACCACGCCAAACGACTTGTAGAGCATATTGAGATGGAGTTCAAATTCAGAGTTACATTTAGTCAATGCAACTGTATTCCTACTGCAGTGTCCGATAATTATTGACCGTGTTTCACTATCCCTTATGTGTACATACAATAAAGGAAACATTTTATCATGTACATTGAAAGCTTAATGTTATAACAACTGACCATTCAGTAAAAATTTTTTTCAAGCATAAATCTCCATGTAAAATTCCATCGCCCCCGCCCAAGATGATGGTTTCATACTTATGTTACTAAATCAGGGCTATGCCATATTTGTGAGCTAAAAGTAATCATGGTAATGTGGATAACTTTGCCATTACTGATTCCAAAAGGGCATTGTCATCATATCGACCCACTGCCACACCCTAAACAAATCAATTATGGCAAGAAGCATTTTCTGGAAATTGGATAAAACCACAATTACAGCCATCCCATGCCAACTAATCCTCTCTCTAAGAAATCAATGAAAGTAATGCGCACATTGGCAACGAAACGAGAGCATTACCCTGTCAACTGTTGGCAGGGATTGACATTTCAGTTATGCAGGCGTCTGGATTTATGATGATAATCAGCCTTTGGGATGGACCAGGTAATCACGTCCTATTTTGTGTTTAACTGCATCGCCCTGCAGTTTACACAATGGCAGTGATTTAGTGCAGTGTGGCCTGATTGTGAGGTCATACTGGGACATTCTATAATCTTGGTACAGCTGCCGAGCTGCTGCAATGTATTTGTTTCACAAATAATATTACATCGCAATTCGTTTTTATTTTTTTCAAATTTAAATGCATTCACTTTACGTATTTTCATTAAAATCATACAAACTGTCAGAGTTATCGTTGTATACCTATCCAAACCAATTTTTGTACAAATCACACATCCCTCGTGCAAAGTCTGCTTCTTCACGAAAAAAAATGGGTTCCCATGGCAACAGTGCGCATCGCCACGCGATGTCAGTCCAATTTGCATCTCCGTTTGTGCCGTCCAAGAGCCTTCAAGGTCACCCTTTTGTAGGAAAACGGGAGTCTTATAAAACGTCGCCACCGATTACTCAGAACAATGTGCACCGAGCCCGTATGCGAGAGACTGAACGTTACTCCTGCTCATTCACTTCCCCTCTTTGTCTTCAAACGTTTCACAAGCTTTAATGAAAATGAGGCCTGTAATTCTGTTAGCTTGCCTGCACAAAACAAAAGTAGATGTTTTTTTTTAAGAGTTTGTGCCCTGTATCCCATTGCGGGTAGAGCCCCACATCGCTGTAGATATATTTTAGGCCATTTTATTCCTAAAATGATCAACGTCTCATAGACGCCATTCAGTGTAGGGCGTGGCTGTGTTTCACTGGATCACCCAGCTCCAACCACAGAGATATTTTATTGGGCGATTCATCTAAAAATAAATGACCGGCAATTCGAGGAAAATTACCAAAAAAAATTCCACGGTCTCGTGTTGGGTGCGATGACCTCATTTACCAAACAACTGTACGCATGTTTTAACAGGATAAAATGTTGCCAAGTAAAATTACGCTTTACAAAAGACATTTCTAAATGGAGACAATTGTGGGCTGAAATGTATCACTCAAAGGTGAAATTCAACGGCGACATGGGCAGTTGCCATGTGATCCTTGAGGGTCACGGCAAAAACAGCCATTGCTCACGTGATGCTGCTAAAATAAATCTTGATTCATTGAACATAGCGGCAATGACCGCCGTTGCTAAGCAACTGGGTTTTTTTTTGGAGCAAAGAGCAACGCCCATCTGTGACAGCAACGCAATCAATAGTTACTTTATCAAGCCATCCTCCACGTAAATGTCGGCGGTGAACGACTGGTCATCATTGATGACGCGTCCTCCCTTTATCAGCAGACGGTCACTCTGGAGGGGTCAAAGCGGGGCAGCACACAGACAACGCGACACACAGCGAGAGTTTGTTTTAACGAGATGTCTGGGTGGCTCAGGCAACCAAAGCACCCACAACATTAGAGAGCAGTGAGACAGCACCTTGGAGATCACATGTGTCCAAGCCGTTGGCCATCGCTATGATAAAGTAAAGATCAGCATGTGCATGGTGGACCACCATAGGGATATTTTAACACTGGCATTAACATATTTAAATAGTTTATTCTTTAAGTTAATATTTGATCTATTATGATGATTCATATCTGTGTCTTCCTTTCTTCTTCTTCTTATGGGGGTCACCTCAAATCCGTAACTTACAAAACTAGACCTTGAACCCTGACTGAATTGGGACAAAACATAAGTGATGAATGTTCAGAGATTATGCCGGTTATCTTTCAAAACAAAGTCAAGTCCTTAATTAATTTAAAAAGAGAACTGATGCATGCATTAATGTTAATGAAAGTCAGTAAGAACATATGCTTAAATAACCCTTTGTGACTTGTTAAAATAAATTAAATAACCCTATGTGTCCTGACTTTTGGTCCACCCTCTATAGTGTTTGATAGTCTCATGCTAAATGTATAACTGTGCACCACAGAAAATTAGAATTTGCATTTTATTCTCATTGAACAAATCTGCGCGGGGCACATTATTCATCGTCGGACACTGAGCACTAACATCAAGAAGACGAGGTGAAAAGGCATGTCAAAAAAGATGGTTCACTCAGAATGTTGTCCTCCTGCCTCGCTTGCCCGCTCACTACAAGCACACGGTGAGGTTTTTGTTTTAGATGTGCGTGCAGGGTTTCTGAAATGGGGCATAGATGCTCCGCTTTGTGCCTGATTGTCAGCCGAGAGAATCGTGAAAGAGAATTATTAACCCTGCCTCCGATAGCATACTGTAAAAAAATGCTTTCTGTTTTAAGACGCAATTTGTTTAACCGATTACATTTAAAATAAAGCACGCATGAAACGTCGCATTTAATAGATGCACCATTTTCGGAATGCATGAGGGATGGGTTGGTGTGAGTGGATTTTTTTTCTCCTTTCTAAATAGATCTCATCCGAGGTCATATGGCCAATCTCCATGACACCAAGCGCCCCCCTTTGGGCGTCACAAAAGGCGAGGCTGCCATTTTGAGGAGAGCCTTTGGATAGTGCCACGATCGCCACGACCGCCAACGTCGCCGTTATCACCGGGGCAGAAGGAAAAAAAGGAGACCCACCGGGTCATTGAGCAGGCTTCTCTCACGACAGCCCAACGAGACAAGCATGATGAGGCTGCGCTCATTCATTGGTGTTGTTGTTTTTAAAATCAGAATTAATAAGGAAACGTTTTCAGAGAGAAACCCGCCCCTGTCGTTCTGCGCGGGGTGACAGCGGGTCCTTGCGTTGCATCTCACACCGCATTCATTCACAAGCCTTACACAGTATACATTTCAACATTTACATTTTTTTGTTACACCTACCGAGAGAAGTGACTTCATCATGATCAACCTGACATCATGTGATTAATGCAGAGACAGGTGTTTTTTTTGGGGGGGGAGGGGGATATTTAGTTGCAATTGTTACATTTGCAAATTTGGAAAAGACACTGGCATGCGTTTGACATACTCTTACAACCAACTGCGTAGAGGTTTTAATGTTCACTTCACAGCAAAGAATGCAAATGACGGTACCACGCATATGCGGGGATACAACCCACCACTTAACGCAAACTGGTTCGTGTGACATCATCCTCAGCCATGATCTATCCACCGCTGGGTGAAGGACTCCCAAAGCTGTCGCCATCTCACACGACCTGGCGAGGAGGACACGATCCCTGACACCATTTTCGTTCCACGTATTCAGTTTTTTTTCTCTCTCCACGTTTCCATCGGTCCATGTTACCCCAATCAATGTTGAGGTAGAACGAACATCTGGAACATCCTTTTCCTCGCCTGAACAAAATATTTTTTCCTTTTGCAAAAAAAGCTAAATTCCACCATTAGTTTAACGAGAATGTGTCTTTCATACATTATGGTTCAATCATCTGCTCAAAGGGCGGCTAAGAGCTAGTATCATCAATAAATACACAATCATAGTAAAAAACTAAAGATGTCTTATATATATATACCAGACCTGCTACCTTCCGATTGCATGTTTAATCACGGCGTAGCTGCGCTCATCCATCCTGCCAAGAAATCTACAGACGCAGAAGCTGTTGCTTAGTGCCGTGTTGCTAAGTCAACAGGTATATGCAGAGAATTTTACCCGCATGGGTGTCAAAGCAATTGCAGTGCTCACAATGCACCACGTGTAAAGCTGATTATTACAGAAATATGTTTTACCCCTCACTAATGACCGGGCCTCAAATGAGCGAAATCAATAGGGGGACACGTCCACATCACTACAAAGATTCCACTGTGTGCTCTGTGCGTATGTATGTATGTTGAACTGCTTGCTCTATATTTACATTTACTCTGCAGAGAACATACGGGTACTGTGTGCACTGTACTGCAATTCCTATGAGCGTGAACCAGTATATATCACAGGACAATTATGAACTGTCAGTGTTTTACCCCAGCCTGTCATCACATAAGGGGTCCAGTGTGCGTCTGTCTGCGTAGGAAGTCAGTGTGTGACGCAGTATTGCCTGCGTAGTGCATTGCTATAAATGGACACATTCTCATACAGTCGCCAAATGCACAAGCACGGCTCGTTTGTCCACTTCTGGATGGGGAGTCTCCACACTGATATTTAACCATGCTTCACCACAGGTGTGTGGGTTGGTGCAGGTGTGTGGGTTGGTGCAGGTGTGTGGGTTGGTGCTGGGTGTGTGGGTTGGTGCTGGGTGTGGGATGGTGCAGGTGTGTGGGTGGTGCAGGGTGTGTGGGTTGGTGCAGGTGTGTGGGTTGGTGCAGGTGTGTGGGTTGGTGCTGGGTGTGGGGGTTGGTGCAGGTGTGTGGGTTGGTGCTGGGTGTGGGGGTTGGTGCAGGTGTGTGGGTTGGTGCAGGTGTGTGGGTTGGTGCAGGTGTGTGGGTTGGTGCAGGTGTGTGGGTTGGTGCTGGGTGTGGGTTGGTGCAGGGTGTGGGTTGGTGCAGGTGTGTGGGTTGGTGCAGGTGTGTGGGTTGGTGCAGGTGTGTGGGTTTGGGGCAGGCGTGTGGGTTGGTGCAGGCGTGTGGGTTGGTGCAGGGTGTGGGTTGGTGCAGGTGTGTGGGTTGGTGCAGGTGTGTGGGTTGGTGCTGGGTGTGGGGGTTGGTGCAGGTGTGTGGGTTGGTGCTGGGTGTGGGGGTTGGTGCAGGTGTGTGGGTTGGTGCAGGTGTGTTGGTTGGTGCAGGTGTGTGGGTTGGTGCAGGTGTGTGGGTTGGTGCAGGTGTGTGGGTTGGTGCAGGTGTGTGGGTTGGTGCTGGGTGTGGGGGTTGGTGCAGGTGTGTGGGTTGGTGCAGGTGTGTGGGTTGGTGCAGGTGTGTGGGTTGGTGCAGGTGTGTGGGTTGGTGCAGGTGTGTGGGTTGGTGCAGGGTGTGGGGTTGGTGCAGGTGTGTGGGGTTGGTGCAGGTGTGTGGGTTGGTGCAGGTGTGTGGGTTGGTGCAGGTGTGTGGGTTGGTGCAGGTGTGTGGGTTGGTGCAGGTGTGTGGGTTGGTGCAGGTGTGTGGGTTGGTGCAGGTGTGTGGGTTGGTGCAGGTGTGTGGGTTGGTGCAGGGTGTGTGGGTTGGTGCAGGTGTGTGGGTTGGTGCAGGTGTGTGGGTTGGTGCAGGTGTGTGGGTTGGTGCAGGTGTGTGGGTTGGTGCAGGTGTGTGGTTGGTGCAGGTGTGTGGGTTGGTGCAGGTGTGTGGGTTGGTGCAGGTGTGTGGGTTGGTGCAGGGTGTGTGGGTTGGTGCAGGTGTGTGGGTTGGTGCAGGTGTGTGGGGTTGGTGCAGGTGTGTGGTTGGTGCAGGTGTGTGGGTTGGTGCAGGTGTGTGGGTTGGTGCAGGTGTGGTGGGGTGGTGCAGGGTGTGGGGGTTGGTGCAGGTGTGGGGGTTGGTGCAGGGTGTGGGGTTGGTGCAGGTGTGTGGGTTGGTGCAGGTGTGTGGGTTGGTGCAGGTGTGTGGGTTGGTGCAGGGTGTGAGGGTGGTGCAGGTGTGTGGGGGTTGGTGCAGGTGTGTGGGTTGGTGCAGGTGTGTGGGTTGGTGCAGGTGTGTGGGTTGGTGCAGGTGTGTGGGTTGGTGCAGGTGTGTGGGTTGGTGCAGGTGTGTGGGTTGGTGCAGGTGTGTGGGTTGGTGCAGGTGTGTGGGTTGGTGCAGGTGTGTGGGTTGGTGCAGGTGTGTGGGTTGGTGCAGGGTGTGTGGGTTGGTGCAGGTGTGTGGGTTGGTGCAGGGTGTGTGGGTTGGTGTAGGTGTGTGGGTTGGTGCAGGTGTGTGGGTTGTGCAGGTGTGTGGGTTGGTGCAGGGTGTGCGTTGGTGCAGGTGTGTGGGTTGGTGTAGGTGTGTGGGTTGGTGCAGGTGTGTGGGTTTGGTGCAGGTGTGTGGGTTGGTGCAGGTGTGTGGGCTGGCGCAGGGTGTGGGTTGGTGCAGGGTGTGGGTTGGTGCAGGTGTGTGGGTTGGTGCAGGTGTGTGGGTTGGTGCTCTGTGTGGGTTGGTGCAGGGTGTGGGTTGGTGCAGGTGTGTGGGTTGGTGCAGGTGTGTGGGTTGGTGCAGGTGTGTGGGTTGGTGCAGATGTGTGGGTTGGTGCAGGTGTGTGGGTTGGTGCAGATGTGTGGGTTGGTGCTCTGTGTGGGTTGGTGCAGGGTGTGGGTTGGTGCAGGTGTGTGGGTTGGTGCAGGTGTGTGGGTTGGTGCAGGTGTGTGGGTTGGTGCAGGTGTGTGGGTTGGTGCAGATGTGTGGGTTGGTGCAGGTGTGTGGGTTGGTGCAGATGTGTGGGTTGGTGCAGGTGTGTGGGTTGGTGCAGGTGTGTGGGTTGGTGCAGGTGTGTGGGTTGGTGCAGGTGGTGGAATTTGCTGCACTGCCCTCTGCTGCCGAC